TCGTGGTTGTCGCAATCGCTCATTGGTCTTCACCTTAAGTGCTTTCTTCAATGAGTCCAACTTTTTTCAAGCGTTTAGCTTCTGCTAGTGGCGGGGTCCTTTCAATATTTTTTATTTTAGCTTCCCTCATTCTTTTTATTAAGCATAATGATACTTTTAGCATTACGGCAAATCTGTGTCAAATATATTGTTGAATTGGGCGCTCTAGTCAAAATGAATCATATTTTGGCTATTAACTTCTCCAATACATGATATAATGCCGTTCTACAAAAATTCAAGACAAGAAGAAAGAAAGAAAAGGATAGCGATCGCTTTGGGAACGTCACAGGGGAATCGGCTGAAAGAGTTTAAATAGGCCAGGAAACCATTTCCACTAAAAAGTTTGGTGATTTTGCACTTAGAAGTGTGCTCGGATATTGATTTGGAGGTCCGTAGGTGATTTTGGCTTGAATTGACAAAAGTTAGAAAAGTTGAAATTAGTAGAGTTGAGAAGTTTGACCTAGAGTTGACTTTGTAGTTACCGAGCTCAAATTTTGGTTTCTAAAGTTGGAAAAGGTCTGTTTTGTCATTTATGACTGGTGTATAAAATATGAGGTCAATCGGAGTTGGTTTGGTATGTTTCGGCATTAGTTTTGAAAGTTAGAAGTTCATAAGTTCATTAGGCTTGAATCGATGTGTGATTCGTTATTTTAGTGTTGTTTGATGTGATTCGAGGCTTCGAGCGTGTTTGTATCATGATTTAGGACTTGTTGATATTTTTGGCTGAGGTCCCGGGGGTCTCGGGTGGATTTGGGATGGTTAATGTATTAAAATTGGACTTAGAGGAGTTGCTAAAATGCTCCGGGTCTGGTTCATTCGTACCTGCGAAGGATTTGGTTGCAGGTGCGTGACCGCAGAAGCTAGGTTGGCATCGTAGGTGAGGCTCTTTGTTGGGATGAAGGGATGCACAAGTGTGAGGTTTTGGCCGAATCTGCGTGATCGTAGATGCGGGAAGTGGAGCACAGGTGCGAAATGGCGAGCGGCAGGAGTATCCACTGAAGAGGAGCCCAGGTCGCAGGTGTGAATCCGTAGAAATGGAGCCTTGTCCGCAGAAGCAAAGATAGGGGCCTTCATAGGAACCACAGAAGTAGAGTTTTGGCTGCACCTGCAGAGCCGCAGAAGCGGTTAAGTGAACCGCAGGTGCGAGATGCCTGGCAGATTCGTAAGGTCGAGGGTTTGAATTATTTTCTCATTTTTGGACTTTTCAAGCTCAGTTGGGGGCGATGTTTGAGAGGGGTTCCACTAGATTTCGAGAGATAAGCAATTTTTGGTTATTTTTATATATTAATATTGAATACCCATTGAATTTTCCAACTAGATTATGTGTTTTTAAGGTGAAATTTACGGAATTTTGGACTAGGGATTGGAGAGTAAGATTTGGGGGTTTGAGTGATGATTTGATGTCGAAATTCGGTAATTTTGGTATGGTTGGACTCATTATTGAATGGGCGTTTGAATTTTGTAAATTTTATTGGATTTCGAGACGTGGGCCTGGGGTTGACTTTTGAGTTGACTTTTTGACTTTTGTTAAAGAACCTAACTTTACCATATGGAATTGATTCCTATAGCTTGTGTTGATTGTATTGAGTTGTTTGTGGCTAGATTCGAGTCGTTCCGAGGCTGATTCTTGAGGCAAGGGCTTGTTGTAGTAGAGATTTGTGTGGATTGAGGTATGTAATACTTCTAAACTTGGTTCTGAGTGTATGAACTCCTAAAATACATGTTATGTGATTTGTGTTGAAGTGACATACATGCTAGGTGACGGGCGTGTGGGCGTGCACCGTAGTTATTGTGACTCAGTTGATTCCGTGGAATTGTGTAGTCATCTAATATTGCTATTATTCATGTTAACTCCATGTGTTAGAAAAATTGAAATGTTATTCATGTTAGAAATCATGTCTAGGCTATATGCTGGTACTGTTGGGACCCACATAAGTCGTTCTTTTGTTGTTGAGTTATTTTCTTAAATTGTAGTTATGTACTCAGTCGCATTCATCATTTGCAGATCATATCTCAGTCTTTGTTATCATTTATTATTACATCATGTATCAATGCTTTGGGTTGATTGGCATGCGTGTTGTGAGCCCGAGAGAATGGAGAGATTGATGACTGAGTGAAACCGAGGGTGTGATTGTGAGTGATATTGACGGGATCAGGCTGCACGTCACATCACGTTTCATTGATTCATGATGGGATCGGGTTGCACGCCACAACGCGTATTCTTGAGTCATGATGGGATCGGGCTGCACGCCGCATCAGGTTTATTAACACTTGGGCAGGATCCGCCCCTCCGGAGTCTGACATACCAGCAGTGAGTGCAGGTACCACACAATGCTGAGTGACTGAGTATGAGTTGAGACAGTCAGATTGAGTTCTCTCAGAGCATGATTATGTGAGGTTATCATTCTGATGCATTACATGTGACATACACATTTGACATTTAGATATATAGATGTAACATTCCTCATATCAATCATACTTGGCATATTTTATCCGTGTTGAGCTTAAACTGTTAAACATGAAAGCATGTCTACATTTCTGTACTATGTATAAACTGATTATGAGTTCTCTCTGAGATATTACCGTCATTCTTCCTGTCATATCTGTACTGTTATAAATCTGGACTTAGACTGTACCTATCTAAGCTTGTCACTACATTCAGCCCAAGGTTAGTCCTGTTACTTATTGAGTATATTGGATCGGTTGTACTCATACTATGCTCCGCACTTCGTAGGCAGATCCAGGTACTTCTGACATGGCGGTTGCTTGTTGTGGAGCTTCATCTGCTTGGAGACTATTAAGGTAGCTGTCTTGGGGTCCACAGACCTCAACTCTCCTTCTTTTTAGTTTATTTGCATTTTTCTATCCTTCTAGACAGTTCTTTTTAGCAGTGATACCGGATTTTGAGGGAATTTGTATTGAGTCGCGGTATTTTCTTATCAGTTATTTATGAGATTTTCACTATTAAGCTTATTTCGTTATGTTTTCAATTTAAAGATGCGTGATTATTTGTGATATTCGGCTTGCCTAGTATTGCCATTGAGTCGTACTTGTTGACATTTTAATATCTTATTAATTCATCATTGCTCTTCATATTTATTATTATCTTTCTACATTCTTTTCAGCATAATTATTACTTATCCTGATGAACCTAGGATTGTGACATGTAATGAGATAAAGCAATATAAGGACAGTGATTCGGAAGATTTGGAAGATGTTGTAATACTTGAGGAAATTATCAAATAAGTAGAGAATTTTGAAAACAAACCGACGTCTAATTTGGAAGAAACTGAGGCCGTTAACTCAGGGGATTCCGAAACAGTCAAGGAAACTCGCATAAGCATCGATCTATCACCGACAGAGAGGGAAGACTATATCATGTTTCTAAAAGAATATGAGGATATTTTCGCATGGTCCTACAACGATATGACTGGGTTGAGCACATCCATAGCAGCTTACAAGCTACCTACCAATCACATGTGTCCACCGGTAAATCGGAAGCTCATAAAGTTCAAGACGGATATGAGTTTGAAGATAAAAGAGGAGGTCACCAAACAAATTAAAGCCAGGATTCTCCGAGTGGTTGAATACTAGACCTGGTTAGCCAACATTGTTCCGGTTCCAAAGAAAGATAAGAAAGTTAGAATATGTGTTGATTATCGAGATCTGAACAGAGCAAGTCCTAAGGATGATTTCCCACTACCTAACATACATATACTAATTGACAACTGCACTAAGCATGAACTCCAATCCTTTGTGGATTGCTTCGCAGGATACCATCATATTTGGATGGATGAAGAGGATGTCGAAAAGACCGCCTTTGTCACACCATGGGGAATATATTGTTACAAAATGATGCTGTTTGGTTTGAAGAATACTGGGCCACCTACATGCCGTCCATAATGACTATCTTCCACGACATGATACACAAGGAAATAGAGGTCTACGTAGATTATGTTATCATCAAATCTAAAAGGAGTTTGGATCAAATAGTAGACCTGAAGAAAGTTTTTGATCGGCTTCGAAAATACAACTTGAAGTTGAACCCTGCAAAATGTGCCTACGGAGTCCCTGCTATAAAATTGTTAGGTTTCATCGACAGCCGCCGAGGTATTGAGCTGGACCCGTCAAAAAATAAAAGTTGTCCAGGACTTGCCATCGTAAAAGAATAAGAAAGATATGATGGGTTTTCTAGGGAGCCTCAATTATATCAGCCGTTTTATAGAACAATCAACGATGATATGTGAGCCAATCTTCAAAATTCCGAGGAAAGATGTTGCAACAAGCAGGACTGAAGAATGCCAGAAAGCCTTCGACAAAGTCAAGGAGTATTTATCTAAACCGCCAGTGTTGGTCCTGCCAGAACCAGGAAGACCTCTGCTGCTTTATCTGTCTATGATGGATGGGGCCTTTGGCTATGTTCTAGGACAACATGATGAAACTAGAAGGAAGGAGGAGGCGATATATTATCTGAGCAAAAAGTTCACGCCTTACGAAGCCGGTACTCTTTGTTAGAATGCACCTGTTGTGCTTTGACATGGATAGCCCAGAAGTTGAGACATTATTTCTGCGCATACACTACATATCTCATATCAAGGATGGATCCACTAAAATACATCTTTCAGAAACCCATGTCTACCAGTAAGTTAGCAAAGTGGCAGATATTGGTGAGTGAGTTCGACATCATCTATGTAACTGAGAAGGCAGTCAAAGGGCAAGCATCAGATGATCACTTGGCAGAACATCCTATAAACGGAGAATACGAACTACTGAAGACATATTTTCTCGATGAAGAGGTATCATTTATAGGAGAAAATATTACCAAAGCATACGATGGTTGGAGGATGTTCTTCAACGGAGCAGCAAACTTTAAGGGAGTGGGAATCAGAGTTATCTTAGTATCATAAACCGGTCAACATTACTTGATATCCGCAAAACTCAAGTTCCCATAAACCAACAATATGGCAGAATACGAAGCCTGCATCTTGGGACTCAGGGTGGCTATCGACATAAACATTCAGGAGTTGCTAGTAATCGAAGATTCTGATCTATTGGTGCACCAGGTTCTAGAAGAATGGGCTACTAAGAACACCAAAATATTACCGTACTTTCATTATGTAAAAGATTTGATCAAGAGACTCACAAAGATAGAGTTTAAACATATTCCAAGGATTTAAAATGAGTTTACAGATGCATTAGCCATCTTGTCTTCCATGATACAACATCCAGACAAGCATTTCATCGATCCTATCACAATTAGAATTCCTAATCAGCCAGCTTATTGTGCTCATGTTGAAGAAGAGTTTGACGGAAATCTGTGGTTCCATGACATCAAGGAATACTTGGAAAAGGGAGAATATCTAGAGAATGCTACACACACTCAAAAGTGCACGCTCCAAAGATTGGCCAATCATTTCTTTCAAAGCATAGGAACTTCATATAGAAGAACTCCCGACTTGGGATTATTGCGATATGTCGATACCAAGGAGGCATCTAGATTGCTCAAAGAAATACATGCCGGAACTTGCAGACCCCACATGAACGGTTTTGTTTTGGCCTAGAAGATATTATGAGCAGGGTAGTTTTGGATGACTATGGAAACAGACTGAATCAAATATGTTCAAAAGTGTCACCAATGCTAGATATATGTTGATATGATATGAGTACCGCCCAACGAACTCAATGTAACTAGTTCACCCTGGCCTTTCTCTGCTTGGGGCATGGATGTTATCAGACCAATCAAACTCGTTGCTTCAAACGGACATAGGTTCATTTTGGTGGCTATAGACTACTTCACAAAATGGGTTGAAGTTGTATCCTATAAGGCTGTAACTAAGATCGTAGCAGATTTTGTTTGGGACCGCATTGTTTGTCAATTTGGAGTACCTGAGGCAATCATTACGAACAACGCCGCCAATCTTAATAGCGGCCTGATGAAAGCTATGTGTGAAACATTCAAGATTAAGCATCAAAACTCTACAACATACAGGCCGCAAATGAATAGAGCTGTAGAGGTAGCCAACAAGAACATTAAGAAAATATTAAGGAAAATGGTGGACAAATACAAGCAATGGTACGAAAAGATTCCATTTTCTTTGCTCGAGTATCGCACCACTGTTCGCACGTCCACGGGGCAACCCCCTACCTACTCTGGTCTATGGTACCGAGGCCGTTATCCCTATCGAAGTGGAAATTCCTTCATTAAGGATAATACAATAGGCCAGGCTCAGCGACGCGGAATGGGTACGGAACCAGGATAAACAACTAGCTCTCATTGATGGTAAAAGAATGAACGCAGTGTGTCACGGTCAACTCTACTAGAACAGAATGGCAAGAGCCTTCAATAAAAAGGTTAGGTCAAGGCAATTTACTCCAGGGCAATTAGTGTTGAAATGAATCTTCCTACATCAAGATGAACCAAAGGGGAAATTCTCACCTAATTGGCAAGGCCCTTACATGGTTCACCGAGTACTAATAGGAGAAGCACTTATACTCCTAAAGATGGATGGAGAGATTTGGCCAAAACATAAAAATTTGGATGCGGTCAAGAGATACTATGTTTGAGACTATGTTTTCACTTTCTATTTGATGTAACCTGAACTACGCTTGACCTGATTCCCATTTAAGAGGGGATACGTAGTCAGCCATGTAGGTTCGGTGACATCATAATAAAATCTTCATTTTCCCTATGGTCAGAAACTAGGGCAAGATCTCAAGTTTTCCCGATATCATCGTATGTAGAATTCATCAAGGAATGTGTCGCCAGAAGTATGCATTTAAACTAGGGCAGAATTTTGAGGAGAATCCTCAAAATTTTGAGTTAAGGAGGTTGCAATGTCTCAAAAGCGTGTCATAATTATCAATTCGACAAAATTATTCTCTCTCATGCATTATCACATATTTCAAACAACTAAATATTATATAAACAATTTATCATGCTTCTTTTTCAAAAATTTCATTTTTTATAGTAACCAGACGTTACTAGGGTGTGACTCAGACAGGACCTCAAGACAAGAGCAAAGGCAAAGCAAGAAATCGAGAGCACGAACCAACCTTCCCCCCTCCAAACTCACAATTTTTCTTTAGATACAAGAACAATGGATATAACAAGAACGTCTGCAAATACACACACAACAAGATCACTATCTTCACATCGATAAAAGTCGGCAAACGCAAACGCGTCAAGATAAGAAATACTTTGCCCTCTCGCATTTAGTCATTGCTTTTCTTGCATAGGGCTAAGCATTGCCCTCATCTTCGCATAAGGATAAACGTTGTCTTTCTTTGCATGAGATTAAGCATTGTTTTCATTCCTCGCCTGTGGCTAAGCACTGCCTCTATTATTGCATAAGGCTAAGCACTGCCTTTCTTTGAGTATTGTCTTTAATCCTTGCATAGGGCTAAATACTGCCCTCACCTTGCATCATCCTCATAGCCCGAAGACATCATGCCATGGCCAAAGGATCTATTGAAACTGCATATCATTATTCAAAGGCATCATAGTCCAAAGGAACCATCCTCATGGCCCGAGGACACCATTTCATGGCATGCGAATCCTTTATCATATGCTTCATGGCCTAGGACGTCATAGCCTAAAGACATCATCCTCATCGTCCAAAGACAACTCTCATGGTCCGAAAGGAATTTCCATCTTGTTTAAATTTTCGCAATAACCCATATATATTTGCGTGCATCGTGTTCTAAGTTTTGCAGGTACCTAAGGAGGTAACCGTTCTACAAACAGGAGCAATTCTCGCCCGGTTTCCGTTCACAACATTCACATCCTTCGATCACCTCAAACGTAACCGCTAATCAGCAATTGATTACCCTTTGTTCTTTAACCGTTCAAATATCGTCCTTGTACATCCGTACGTTCAATTTGCATTCATAGCCCTACTTGAATTTATCTATTATTCACGATACTATCCTACTCAAAAGATCCTTTTTCGAAACACACGACCACACTTATAACAACTCCATCGGTTTCGTTCGTCGTTGGATCCAGAACTACACACGACCTGATTCCCATAACAGCAGGGATATGTAGGCAACTCAAGAGCCAGGGTTCGGCCCCCATTTTGTTTTTTTTAAAACACATCATTCTTCAGTCACTTCGGACAAAATTGGTTATTATTTTCTTTATCAGACAACTCTTTCATCATTCCCGGATAAAGAGGGGAAGCTATTGATACCCAATTTTACCCTCATATTTTTATAAATATCATATATGCTTTTAAAATATCATTCCTTCATCATCGCCAATTTACAAGAATCATAGAAGTATTTGTCTATAATTGTTCATAATTTTTAAATCTTAAAAATTGATTTCTTGCATTTAAATTATTTGAATATGTATTAATTTCCCCTTTAAGATATTGTTGTGATGACTTATTTGAACTCACGTATATGTTTTATTATATTTTACTTTATTTTATACAATTATATTTGTATTTCTAAAGCTATTTACATAATTTTGCAATAACGGCCTATATTCTATACATAATTGTACTTATTATATTATTATGCTAAAATAATATTTCTTATACTCTTATAATGTTAAGCTATTATTTTCAAGTATGTTACTGCATAAATAATTTTTTTATTATTCACTAGTCATTTTTATAATTTATTTTTAATGTGTTTTGTATATTTAATTTATAGCCCCAATATAGGGCTAATTTCGGAACAAATTTGACCCAAGTTATTACCCCAATACCCCCATAGACCAAACCAAGCATCTCTTTTAATGAATCTAGTCGCGCCCCATTTAAAGGACCCGCCCCATTACCTGTTTGATCCTGGCCGTTGATCTCAAATGATCAACGGCCCACAATAAATCCCTACCTTTCCTTATATCCCCTCACCCCAAACACTAATCCCATTCTCATACTTCAGCCACCCCTTAATACTCTCTACTCTCTTCTTCTCTGAGGAAACCCTAGCCGACATATCCCTTAATCCTCTCCGATTCCGACATTAATATGGAACCCCTCCATGATTTCCATTCCATAAATGTTCTGTCACCTTGTTACTTACACGATTTTGGTATCAACTAGTATTTGCCTATTTTTGGCAAGTACCAGGCCCTAAGTTATGTGCAATCGTCTTCAATCTTCAAGATCTAGATGGTATTTCGTGTATATACGTTCATGACAAGGTAATATGAGGCCGATTCACCAAGATCTTTGGTCGATTCTTTGATTTCCGTCGAACTAGGGTTTGAAATTTCTTTTTTTCTTTACTGGTTCTATTATCGATTGCATGTGGTATTTTCCTTCTTTATTTGTGTTTGATTAATTATTTTCCATGTTTGCTTGTTCGATTTCTACCGCTATATAACCCCTTCCCAATTTTTCCTTAGGACGGACCTTAATCGCTGAAACTACTACTGTCTTCTTATTCTTTCTTGTCTTATACAACTCTGAGGCTCAATATTTTGGGATGAAACCCTAGGCCATCATAATTCGATTATCGAACCTTTCTCAGTGTGAGCACTGCCCGGGGTTCATTCGAAACCCTTGGGAACTCTGACGAACTGAGATTCCTCGGTTCTACTATTTGTTTTGCTATTGATATTGGAGTGTTGCTGAAATTATTTCTCTTGTTTACTTGTTCATTCATCTGTAACTGGTAAGCATCTATAACTTTTGCAATTTTATTTCTTTCCGTTTGAATTCCTGTTCTGCATATCTCTGTCTTTGAGAATTTTTATGAACCAGTATGCCATTATATGCTTTGAAGTTCTTCTTGAGGCTCTATACCTTCTAGAAGTCAAACTTGCCTATTTGTTGCCTTGATTCTGCTTCTTAAGCCTTCTTGCTAATGTATGTGCTCGAATGCTTATTACTGTTGCTTATTTAGAGTTTGGTTTCTTGCCTTGTTCTGTACTCTTGTGATGAGTCGAGTCATGCCCAGAAGCTTTTTTAATTCTTGAGTCATTCACGTGCAACTTGATACTTTTTCTAGAATTAATTCATGGTCATGTTATTAGCCGAGGCATGCTTTTCCCTGTTACTTGTGAACTAATGCTCCTTCCCTGCATTGTCTTGTACCTTTGTGATGAATCTATACATGTGTTTCAGACCTTGTTAAGTCATACCTGTCCAACCTACTAAGTTCTTGACATTGTGTTGATTAGCTAGGGCCTGCTTTCCATGTCATTTAAGTTCTAATGTATGCTTTAACTTATGCAATCCTGTTTGAGACCCTAGGGAAGACCTCATGTCTAGACTTTTCCCCCCATATGTGATTAAGCCTAGTGCAGGCTAGTCCTGTTAACCTATATTTGACATATCCTTGCTCATTATGAGTCCTGGTGATATTCAAACCTTCGTGTATGATTGATAATGTTAAAGTCTTCATGCCCAGTTGAGTGGATTGTTACAGACAATTTCCATTAGCAAGTTTGTTATTGATCATATTTGCACTGGACCCTCATACTAGGTATCTTATTTATTTCCGTCTGTGATTGTGCAAGATTTCTCTAACAAGATTGTGTTTAAGTTAGACTTAGATCATATTATATCCTGAAACTCTATCTGGGATTGCCTGTTGGTTTGTGATGTTCCATCTTGTCTTCTATACTTCTAGCATTTTATATATATAACTCTGTGTGATCTTATCTACCTGCTCTGGTTTACACTATTGTTAGTTTCATTCCTAAGAATTAAGTGTGTGGATTTCGAGTTGTTTGATTAATTTATGAACAACTTGTTACTCATGTCGTTAAGTATGGAATTGTTGGGTAAGTTAGTTCCCCTCTTCAGACTTGGCATGGGTCTGCGTTCGAGTCACGCAGGTATACCTATACCTAGGTTTACTATTTTGTGTGAAGAATGAGATCACTATAGACCTTAAAGTTGTTGGGTTATTCCTCTTTGGGCCTGCTCTACTTATTGAGCATGTACTCATTTAGCTTGTAATATGCGAGCATGTATTCTTTATTTTGGGCCTGTAATGATTAGTAAACAAATAATTGGGGGGTTCGTGAAATTGGGGAATGGGTGTGCTTTATTCTTGCATAAAGAGTAGAGAACATGCCTATAGGGCCCATGTGTTTTATTTGCTATTCTTCTTGACTTGGTCTGCTCCTGCGTGCTAATATCAATCATGTTTATATGAACCGCACATATGTCACCCAATTTGACTACATACTACCTCAAACATGTAGCAGTCACTATACTTGATTTCTATGTTATTACTATGCATTTAGACAGTATGCGTATAAGATGTATAACATATGTTTTGTCAACCTAGAAAC